CGGGCGAGGCGGGCGCTGGAGGGCCGCGGCCGGCCGGCCGGACAGCGGAGGCGCCTGCCCACCGCCGAGGGACGCGGGCGTCGGGCCAGGTGAGCAGGGGCGTCCCGCGCGGGGACGCGCTTCCCGGGAGGACGCGGCTCCTCTCGCCGCGGGCGCCCCGGAGGAGCCCGGAGCGACGCGCCGGCTCCGGCGGCTTCCGCGCCCGGGGAGAAGCGGCTTCTCCCCGCAGCTCCGCGAAGCCCACCCGCGCCCGGGGAAAGCGCGCCGCGCTCCAGTTGGGGCTCCCGGCGCGGGAGGGGCATCGCTCCTGCGGAAGGAGAAGCTCGCTCGAGAAGTTTCCCTTCGCAGCAGAACCGCGCCGGCCCCGACTCGCTTTCCCTCTTCCTCCCAGCCCCGCAGAAGTGGGTCGCGGAAATCCCCTGGAGAAGCCTCGCCTTTCGCCCGCGGTTCGCGGACGGCTCTTGTGCCGCCGGAGAAGCGCTTGCTAAGCCGGGGCGGAAGGAGGAGACGGCGCTGCCGTTTTTCGAGGACTGCCCCTCGCCTGCCCCGCAATCTTGGAGCGTTTCGGCTGTAAAACGTCCTCGCACAACCAGAAATCCCGCAGAGCGGAGCGTCCTTCTGGGAAGGAGAAAAGCTCTCTCTTCTTTCCTCCCTTCCTCTGCGGGCCCATGCAGGCTCGCTCCCTCGCTCCCTCGCTCCCTGGCATTTCGCAATGGCTTTGTTTGCAGCCATGTCCTGGGCCAGCCAAGTTCCCGCAGGGCTTGCAGGGACAACCGCCCCCCCCCCCCCGTGCCTTCTGGGCCCAACCCGCCTCTCTTTGCTGGCATCCTCAGCCTCTGGCCACATGGCAAGACAAGAGGGGTGCCTTCCTGGGCCGCATGGGCAGTCCCCTCTCCCTGCCCTGGCCCCTCAAGGCTGTTCAGGTATCCATAGCAACACCGGTCGGGCCTGCAGGAGGAGGTGGCCCGCATCCCACAGCTTGGCTCTGCCCCTGGCTCCACACGTCCCTCCAGGGTGGGCAATGGGCGAACCGATTCCTCAGGCCGGATGGCGAGTGCGCCGCTTTCCCATACCGCTGCCTCCGTGTAAGAAAGGGCTGTTCTGTATGAAAGAGCCCCCACGTGTGGGTTTAAATTTCTAACGAGGGTGTCATCTGCCTGCATCATGCTTCTCAGAGAACAAGAAGCCAGGTCTCTGCCCCAAGATGTTTACAATGTAGAAAAGCAATGCCAGAGAGGCCGCCAAGAAAAAGAAAGGCGATAAAGGCGAGGAGTGAACAGGTGAAGCAGCAGATTGCTGACTGGGTTTTCGTGTTGTCGGAATCCAGCGGTATAAACAAGCCACAAAGAGCCCATTGAGAGAAACCGCAGCTTGTGGGAGGTTTGAGAGCCGTGAGCTGCCCGCCAGCGCTTGCTGCCTCAGCTGGGTTCAGGTGACCGCCCACATCAAGCCCACCCCCCGCCCTTCGTGCGCATTGTTGTGCTGCTTGAGTGCGCCTCCCTTTTCCACTTTGTGGAGCTGACTTTTAAAGACACTTGGAATCCAGGTCTTCATTCCCCTGGGGCCGGTGCTGGATTTGGGCCCCGTGACCAACTCGCCCCCCAAGGGCTGCTTTTGCTGCCCAGGCACCGGTGCGCTTTCCACCCTGCAAGTACGCGGTCAGCGCACCCTCCTTCCCATGTGGCTTGCGCAGCCGGTGCTGGCTGTGCCGCTGCCGTTGCCCGAGGGCAGCGTGGAGGAAAGAGAGAGGCGTCTCTCTGCTCCGCCTGATCAACACGTGCAAAAGAAGTTAAGCTCCGCAGGAAGCAGGCTGTTGCCGCTAAAGCGTGATGTCCAGGCAAAACCCCCAGAAGAGGCAGTGACGGGGAAAGGAAGGCTTCTGCATGCGGGTTTCCCCACATCCCCCTCTTATGGCTTCTGGGCACTGCCTGCCTCGTCATTTCTCCTTTTGCCCCTCCGGAGGAGGCGCAGCGCGGAGCCGCACACTAACGCCGCGCTGTGTGTCGCGGGCCTGCTCCCACATGCAGGTTCAGGTGCGGCGGCTGGGGTGGGGCTCTGGAGCCTGGTGACACTCCCAGCGCCCAGGTTTCCGTAGGCCTGATGCCTGAACTGGATTATCTTCTTCTGGGAAGCCACCCACAAATTCCCACCAGTCGTCGATAGCGGGGAGTCGGCAACCTCCTGGGCTTCTCCGGCTCCACGCACGCTCCACTTGCAAGAGTCTCCCGTTCGAGGAGCGGCCGGGAGGTCCGGGCGAGCGGAGTGGCTGTTCTCCTGCTCCCTCGCTCTGTCTGCCAGGCCAGGCCAGGCCGACCGGCTGTGCGCACTCTCTCCCTGCAGGGCCCGGTGCTCCCACCGCCATGGCGAAGGACGGGGGCTGCAGCGGCCTGTGTGCCACCTGCCTCTTGTGCCTTTACAGCTGCCGCTGGCGTCGCAGCGGGAAGGGTCTTTCCACGAGCAAGGTGAGTTGGGGTGCGCCGTCTGGGGAGGGGCCCCCACCCTGCTGGACAAGGCGGTGTGGGTGCCGCACCTCTGGAGGGCTGCCAGGGGGCGGCGAGCCTTCCTCAAGGCGGCTGGGCCACGCCAGGCTCTGGAGGAGGAGTCCCGCCATCGGCTGCTCCCCTTCTTTGGGCATGCCCGCGCCCCCTCTGGGAGACCCTCCTCCTCCAGTGCATGGGTTCCCAGCATACCAGCTGCGGCTCGTTGGCACAGCAAGCCTCAGAGCCAAAAGCCCCACCCAGGATCGTCAGCCCCGGCTGTGGGTTGTTCTGCTGCGTAACCCAGGCAGTGAGGGTTAAGCTACCCTGAGCAGGCGGAGGATCGCATATTCCTGGTGCCACAGCACGTTCTGCCCAAGCCAGGCTCTGGTTCCGCCCTGCAGAGACAGTCTGTCACACGATCCCAGGCCTGCAGGCAGACTCGGGGCTCCCCCCGGGGAGTGCGGAGGAACGAGGCGCCCTGGGCGACTGGCTTGCCCGGCGCTGCGCAGGGGAGGTCGGAGGTGGAGTTCCTTGCCTGCCTGGGCTTGCTGGGAAGCGCCCAGATAAAAACCAAATCCAGCTGTACTGCAGAGAGAATGGCTAAAAACGCGCCTTGCAAACCAAGCATTATTGGTTGCTTTAAAGCAATTTCCAGAAAGAACCTAATTTGTGAAAGGGAAGGAACCTTGCCCTGGGGGGAGTCCCATCGTCTCGGTGCCACCCAATGCCACCGAAAAGACGCTGTTCTCCCACAAGACTCCATGAAGCGAGTGCGGAGCGCGTGTCCTCTGCCCAAAGCCGGCTCTGCCCATCTTGGACTGGAGCAGGCCTTCGCACCAGAGGACAGGGCAGTGCTGGTCACGGGCACCCACCGCGGGTCTTCGGGTGCGTGGACTGGCGTGTCGCTTCCTGATTCACAGTGCGACTGCGCCTGGTTCTTCTTCCTCCTCGGCGTGTGCCTTTTCACCCTGGCCTGGCTCTACCTCGCCCTCATCACACTCAATGATTTCCACAACCTCAACGAGTAAGTAGAAGGCACCATGTGCCTTCCCTCCCTCCCTCCCTGGCCCGGCCCGGCCCGGCCCGGCCCACCTCTCGTTCTGCCCAACAGATTCATCTTCCGCAAGACCGAGTGGTGGCTTGACTGGTCGCTGGTGATGCTCTCTGGAACGGCAACCCTCGCGACGTACGCCTCTGTGCTCCTGGTACGGCTCTTTCCAGCACTTGCCTCCCTCCAGAATTCCCCGCTGCAGTTTTGGCCTGGCTGAGGACTCAGCCCTCCGGGCTCGGGGAACACACGGCTGGCTACCAGTGGCCGTTAGTCACAACGGCTGTCAGATTGACTCCGGGCTCAGGGGCAGCAGAACCCCAGACACAAAGAACTGGATCTCAGGTCCTGCTTGTGGGCTGCAGGTTGGCCACTCTCAGAGAGAATGTAGCTTTAGGTCTCTTCTTTGTCCATTTTGCACCATTATTTTTAAATTATTACTACTATGGCTATGGCTATTATTATTGTATTACGTGTTATACCTGAACTTCTTCCTCTTCCAAGGAACCCGAAGTAGCTTAGAAACTTCCGCATCTTTCCATTTTGTCCTCACAACAACGACCCTGTGAGGCAGGCTAGCCTGAGAAGCCCGGCGTCGCACAGTGCGCTCCCCAGCAGAGTGAAGACCAGATCCTGGAGCAGCCGAGTCCCAGTCCAGCACTCTGAACCACTCTGCTAAATGTTATAATAATACTACTAATACTAATACTACTACTACTAATATGCTGGACAGCATTTGGCCTTTGGGAGCAGCTTCCGCCTGCTAGGAAGTTCCTTCCACTCGATGATACGGAAAGCCCCTCGCCGTGCGTCTGCATGGCAGATCTGCACTGTTTGAACGCCGCCGCCCTGCCCACACTCCCGGGAACGGCATCACACGTGCTAGCACAACAAGGGAAACCCTGCACAAACACTGCAGCTCCCGCGTTCCTTCAGCAAAGCCACAATGCGAACACTCTCTTTTACAAGGCTGCCAAGATCAGGTTTGAAGCCCATTCAGGGAACAGTTCAGAAGCTGAAGAGGCGCTAAGTAAGTGAGGTTGCCGGCCATTAGCGGCTGCTTCAGCTGAAAGCAGCTGAGTTAGTTATGCAAATAAGAAAAGCCGCGCTGCTCGTGCTGAGCCGCTTTCCTCAGGCAGGATCCGCCTTGCCTTGCCTTGCCTTGCTGCCAGGTTTTGACCGTTTCCCTTTCCCGAGTGTCCCCTCTCACCCGCACTCCCTGTCTCGGAGCTGCGATGCAGAAGGGGCTTCCTTGGTTCTAACCCTGTCCCGCTTTCACCCCAGGTTCTGGCACTGGGCCTGCAACTCTGCCGCCAGCCCCTCAAGCTGCATTGGCTGCACAAGGTAACCCTGCCCTGCTGTGAGCGTGTGCCCAGCTTCTCTGCACAAGGTGTGCTCTTGAGCGATATTTGCAAGCCGGGTCTTACCCACATCTCCTCTTCCTCTGCGTCCCATTTTAGATTGCAAGCTCTTTGGGGCAGGGGCCTGTCCTCTTATCTCCTGCAAAGCATCACATGTGCTGGTGCTGTAGAGGCAAAAACAACCTTGAAGACCCAGTTTATTAACAAATATCCAAGAAGGACACAGGTGAAGGCTAGAAGGATACACAGTGCTAGCAAGCAGTTGATTCTCCAGAGAGGAGCTGACTGCTCCCACTGGTGCACTCCGCTCCCCCTCCCTCCCTGCATTTCTCTCTCATGGTTCAGAACTGATTCTCTTCCCACGTGCATTGGCTGTGTGTTAGGGTAACATCCAGCAACAGGCTGGGCTTTTTAGGGAACGCAAACATGGCAAGCTTCTTGTCACAAATGTGCAGGGCCTCCCTGTTGAAGGGGCGTTTTGAAGGCAGCTCAGCCGTCCTTTTTCCATGCCTGACCTCATCCTTCCGGTTTCTTCCAGAGTCTCCTGATCCTGGCAGTGCTTGCAGTGGCGGCAGCTTTTGTGGGAGTGGAAATCCAGTGGGCAAGCCAGTGGGAAAGTGCCCACATCTCTCTGCAGGTGAGAGCCCACACCTGAGGAGGAACCTGGAAAACACGGGCTGCCGCCGCCACCGCCGCTTTCTCTTGAATCGCACAGGGAGCCGTTGGTGGCTAAAGCACTTGTGCGACTGAGCGGGGGAACTTCTTGTTCTCGCTGCTGGCTCAGTTGCAGGACGGCGCGTCCCTCGTGGCAGCAGCTGCAGCACTGAACGATTCCTGGGAGCTGCCACGTGGCCAGGCTGAGCAGCCATCCGCTCAGGACACGCTCGCTCCAAGTTTCCTGCCTGCAGCAAAGCCAGAGCAGGGTGGCCATTCTGCGCACGCCCCATGGCTGCCGTTAGCTCAGTTGCTTGTGCCTCTGCCGGCTGCCGGCCCAGACTACTGGGACCATCAGTTCCCCCTGCCTCTCAGGACGGGGGGGAAACCACCGCTGAGCGGGACTGGCGCTGCCTGGAGCCCCCTTCTGGCACACGGGCGTTCCTGCAGTCCCCAGGCGCCCCAGGCAGCTTTGCAGCCTGGGCCCTGCCTCTGCTCTGCTCTGCTCTGCTCCTGGCTGCCCACAGCAGTCTAGGGAGCCCCTCTGACGCCTGCTTTTGCCTCCGCCAGGCAACAGGCCCCTTCCTGCACATCGGAGCCGTGGTGGGCATGACTCTCCTCGCCTGGCCAGTGGCCGACTGCTTTTACCGGACCTCCCGCTCAGGTAGGGGAGCCCAGCACTCTTGGCTGGGGCTTTGCGCCACGGCGACAGAGCCCTCGGGCTCCTCCGGTTTCCTCGCAGCTGGCTGCCGTTCCTCTCCCGGACCTGGGAAGTGGTCGCTGCGGGACCGCTCAGCGGCCGCTGGTCCACTGCAGGATGGGCCAGGGTCTCCCGTGTGGCCGCGTCTTTGGCAGGGGGCGCTGTTGCCTCCCCCTGTTCCGCTCTGAAGAAGCGGTGTCTCATTGGACGGAGGGAGCGAGAACGGCCCAGGAGAGGCAGCCAGGACCTGGGAATGGCCACAACATCGTTTGTACCTAGTGGGTCTTTGCAAGGGGGGGCAGGACCCTGGCTCCCCACAGCCCTCTGAAAGATTGTGGGCGTCATTCCCAGCGTGGGTGCATTCCCGTCTCCGCAGCCCTCCGGATACCTCTGCTGTTGCTGTATTTGGGCTCAGTGTTCGCCCTGTACCTGGCCCCACTGGGCATCGACTCCCCCTGCTTTTTGGAGCACAGCCAGCTGCCCCCCAAACCAGCTCTGTTTGGGCACCGTGGAGCTCCCATGGTGAGTAGCTTGCCACCATTGGCAGCTGGAATGCAGGAGACCAGCGAGGCGGGTGGGGGGCGCCTTCTGGAACAACCCAGAGCTGCCCGTTTGTCCGTGCAGGAAAAATATCAGCGATCTGTAGGACCGTTCTGGAGAGCAGCTTGTGCTAAAGCCGGCCGCGATGCTGAGGGCCGGGGTGGCCGCATGCGCACGCAGCCTCAGCTGCTTTTGCACGCTGCTGCTGCTGCTGCTGCTGCATTAAACCACCTGCCAGGAAAGGCACTTTTCTGTCCCTCGCAAAGTCTGTGGAGGGGGGCCTGGTCCACGGCGGTTCCACGGCGGGCAGTGCCGGTCACCAGTCCCCAGAACTGGCCGGCCCTGCACTAGTGGGCAGACTCCGGGGGCAGGAGTGTGGTTCGTGGGTCCACGGCACGTTTTAGGGTGGGGGGGTCTCCCCGGGTGATGAAAGGCATGTCCCTTGGGAATTCAGCCCTGCACTGGGGGCTGCTGGGCTGCCTGGAAGGGAGCAGCCACGGGGGAGCACCCCTGCGAGCGCGTTCAGGATGCGGGGGGCAATCAGCGGTTGCTTTGCTTCGGCCAACCAAAGACCCTCCTTGGAGCGCCGCCTGGAGGCAGGGCCGCCTCCCTCTCCCTTGCCCCCACCTGGACGCAGCCCCGGCAGCCCGTCTCGCCAGGACTCCGGCGGCCTGCTCTCGGCCCAGAGGGATCCGTGGGACGCTGCACACACCCCTTCCCCAGGGCCCTTGGACAGGGCCGGGCCCCCGTGGAGGCTTGCTGCCTGGGGCTGTGCATAGAGGGAAGGGGCTTGCGGGAGCAGCCTTTGGGGGACGCCCCCTGCCTCCGCTGGAGAGAGCCAGGGAGAGCAAAGGGATTCACCTCTGCTTCCTCCGGGAGACCCCGACGGCCCCCAGGCCAGGGAGCAGAACCCGGGAGGGGTCTGCAAAGGCGCCCCAGGCTCCACAGCCAAATCGGGCCCACGGAGCAGAGGTTCTTCACTGCTGTATGCAGCCCTTAAGCCATGGGACTCCGCAGAACACAGCCTAGCAGTGGAGTCGAGTGCGGGGGGGGGGGTGCGAGTCCAGCGGCCCAGCCTTCCCCTCGCAGGCTGGGCTGTGCACCTGCCATGCTTCCTCTCCCGACAGCTCGCGCCAGAGAACACCCTGATGTCCTTCCAGAAGGCGGCCAACTGTGGCGTGAGTGCCTGGGAGACAGACGTCCTGGTGAGGTGAGGGGCAGGCCAGGGATCTCCTGGCCTCCTTCCCAATCCACCCCTCCCCCAGCTGGGAAGAACGGAGCCGCAGCCCAGACGAGCCCCCTCCGTCTTTCTCACCGCCAGTGCCGACGGGGTGCCGTTCATCATGCACGACGAGACGCTCATCCGGACCACGAATGCTGAAGAGGTCTTCCCCGTGCTGGCCCGATCCAGCGCCAGCGCCTTCAACTGGACGCAGCTGCAGCAGCTGGATGCCGGCAGCTGGTTCGTGCAGGTAAGGCGCAGGCAAGCGCGGCTGGACTGAGAGCCAGGTGGCCTGGGTTGTGCGGGGGGCCGCCTGGCTCGGGGGGCCGTTCTGTAGTCTGTGGACTGAGCCGCGCAGGGCTGCTGGGTGGAAGGGCAGCGAAAACCTTTGGGGAGGGGGCCTTTCGGGAGAGCACAGAGAGGCTGAACGAGGGTAGAAAGCATGAGACAGTGGGTGCGCGCCTGGTTCTGCATGATCCTGCCCCACATCCGGGGATACTGGACCATAAGGAAAACTACGTTGGATCAGAGCTGTGATCCATCCAATCCAGCAGCCCATTCACGGGATCCCTCGGGCAGCGAGCAAGCCGTGGTGCAAACCCCCTGGGACGGCAGCCCTGGTGGCAGCCGGGATGCCCCGATTCGGAAGCTTTCCTGCAGCGGTCCTGCTCCAGGTTGCATCTTACCTGGGAGCAAGGTTAGCCTCCCCAGAGACCAAGGCTGCCGCTGGACTGCCGCATCTTTCCAAAATTCTCCCCCAGAGGCGGCTCTTTTAACATAGCATCCTTTCCAGAAGCAGCTGAGCACCATTTTTCTTTGAGAGAAGCACTGCTTGCTTGGCTTTACTTAATATATATGACGTTGTGTGACGTTGTTACTAGCTTGTACCCCAGCCAGAGGCTGGGCCTGCCTGTCCTGGGGCACTGAGGTGGTCCAGACAGGTGGGAATAAGGGGTCGTCCCCCCCTGCAGCCATAGAACGCTCCCCAGTGATGTCTGTGTGGCCAAGTGTCCTCTCTTTAATGCCAGGCCAAGGGTTCCCGGTCCCCCGGCAGCTGAAGGCACGGGGTGCGCTTTTTGGGCTCAGCTGCTTGGGTTTGGGGTTTTACTGCTGCTCTCACTGCTTTGCTAGTTTTGATGGACGTTGTTTTGGAGCAATTCATATTGTGTATTTTAGCCATTTTCAAGTTGCCTTATGCTTGAAAGGTAGCGAAGAAAATGTTGCTGTTGTTCTTAACCCTGGCAATGCCCCTTTGCTCCATTCTCCCGGAGGGAACAAGAGCAGGGGCTGCTTCCTGTTGAAAACCCAGAGACAGATGCCCTGACAAGTTGGCGGGAGAAGCAGGCGGCCGGTGGGAATGGTGGGGGGCCGGCTCCACGGGGCCCAGCCGACCGTGCCCTCATGCCCTCCCCCCTCCTCACCAGAACCCTCCCTTCCCCACTGCACGAAGCCTCTCACGCGACGACCTGATCCTGGCAAAGGCCCAGCGCATCCTCTCTCTGACGCAGCTGCTGGGTGAGGCGGAGAGGCACAACATGGCGGTCATGTTCGACCTGCGGCCAGAGGAGGATCCCCAGTACCAGCACCTGGTCAACATCACAGTGGCGGCCGTCCTCCAGTCGGGAATCTCCCCAGAGCTGGTGAGGGTCCTCCTCCTCCTCCCCCTTGTGGGGACAGCTTTGACCTGCTTGGCGCTCTCCAGAGGGGTTGGACCACAGCTCCCATCGTTCCCAACCGGCGGGGCAGGGAAGGCTGAATGGGGCATTCCAGGCTCGCTCAGCTATCATCCTGGGAAGGAAGGAGGCAGCCCAGGAAGGGGAGCAGGCATGCTGGTCCTGAGCCCCCAGCCCCCCTGTAGCCTCTACCACGAGTGGATCCAGGCGAAGACCCCTTGAGGGGCACAGCTCTGTGAAAGGAAAGGGGGTCCCCACAGCTCCCCGCATTGTGTACTGGCCAGGGGATGCTGGGAGTTAGAGGCACTTTTCTGTGCAAGCTTGCTGCACTTTGAACTGAGTGCGTTGCTTTCCTTCCCACGCTGTCCTCAGGACAACGCAGGCCAACGTGTGAAAGGTCCCCGCAACGCTTCTCTCGCCCTCACAGCCCCCTCCCCCTGCACCAAATAGCTGGGGGACTCAGGTTCGGGACCAGGGAAATCGCTGGATGGGCATTTCATCCCTCGCACGCTCCTGTGCATTTCTGATCCAGGCCCCCAGACGTGTGGGGGCCGCATGTGGGTTAGCCCATGCGACAGCCCTGCCTGGCAATTTGCCACTCTTCCCTTGGTATGGATCGGGGGGGCTGTGGGAGAGCAAGCCCATCAGGCAGAAGTCCACAGGTAGTGCCTCCAGCTCCCAGGCAGGGCACAGGCAGGCGCGGGACGCCCCCAGCAGCCGACAAGGGCTGTGCCAGCTGTGGGTGGTCGGCCAGTCCCTTTGGAGAGTGCCAGGCCGGGGGAGTCTGTCGGAAAACAGCCTGGCTTGGAGGTGGCGGTGGGAGCAGAGCGTGCGAGGCCTCGCTCCATGCCCGTTTTCCCCACCTGCCTCAGATCCTGTGGCTACCTGAGCAGTTTCGGGATCAGGTGAAGAAGCAGGCCCCTGGATTCCGGCATGTCTATAAACGGAAGAGGCTGAGCAATGAGACGGAAGCACCCCTGCGTGTCAACCTGCCTTACCAAAACCTGAGCACTGCAGAGATCCGGTTAGCCCTGGGGGTGGGGGCGGGACCGCTTGGCCGGCTCAGCCGCTTTCAAGCAGAGGATGAGCTGCCCCAGGAGGGCAAAAAGCCGGGCGTCCGGATGGTCGCTTGGGTGCGTGCAGTGCAGCAAATGCGTTTCACATAAAAGATCGAGGGCGCCAGGTCCGCAGCCATCCCCCAGGTGCCTCGCTGGTGCGTAAAGGGTTGCGCCATCCCCAGCTGCCGAGCGCACGCGGCTGTGAGGTGTGGCAACAGCCTTGGAGGGAAGCTGCTCGAGAGAGAGAGTTCAAGATTTCCCCTTTGCTCCTTGCTGCTGAACTGGACCGGTTGAAGGGACCAGTTTGCATGATCAGCTGTGGCCACTTGGACCGTCCAAGGTGTGGCCACAGCTTGCCCTTTCAGCTGAAGCTGGGGCAGTGAGATATGCGAGGACTGCGCATCCCTCATGTAACCCAACAACCAACCATGGGTTCTTCGAGGGTTGTTCAAACCCTCACTTAGCCCATGATTACTGGGTTCAGTCGACATGGAACGCTGTAGCCAAGGCCTGGATATCCCAGTGCTCTCTGGTATGCGCCTCAGCCTGCCATAGCTGAAACGTGCCGCAGTGGCCTGTTTCAGCTGCACAGAGCAGGTCACTGGGCCTCCCTGGAGGCATCCCTGTGAAGCACCGGCAGTTCTCTGTCAGTGCTGACCGCCCCTGCCTCACGAACCCGCTTTCCTTGCCCAGGGAGTACCGCCAGGACAACATCTCAGTCAACCTGTACGTGGTGAATGCCCCGTGGCTCTTCTCTGTCCTCTGGTGTGCCGGGGCCAGTTCCGTCACCACAAACACCTGCCACGTGCTGCAAGGGATGGAGCGTCCCCTCTGGCTTCTGGTAAGGGGCTACTCCTCCACCTGCAGGAACATGCTCTCGGGGAGGGCCAGGCATCGGGCCGCGGCAGGACCCCTCCCCGGTCTGAAATCCTGGAGACTTGCCATTGCCCGTCTGCGACGGCAGTCCCGGACCAGGTGGACCCAGGGTCTGGCTGCGAAAGGCTGCCCGGCCTGCGTTCCAGTGTCCCAGGAGGCGGAGAGCTGCCGGCTCCGCTCTCCCGACGCCCCATTCCGCATGTGCCCTCCCCACAGCCTCGTGCCACCTACCAAATGATCTGGATCGTGACTGACTGCGTCTCCTTCTTGCTGATCGCGTGGGCCTTCCTGCTGCTGAAGTAAGTGGGAGCCGGCAGGAGCCGGGCTTCCCTCAGGGCGGCAGGGCCTCCCCGCACTCCCCATCCCTGCAGAGCCCACCTTTCCCAGCGTGGTGGGGGGAAGGCTGCCACCTCTCCCACGCGCTTGGGGATGCCAAGGAAGCCGCCCGGCATGTCCACCACAGTTGCTTGCACCTGGTGGGGCAGGAAGGGCTGCTTGGGCAGTGAGGGGCGGGAGAGCGGTGGGCGTTATGGGGCGCTCCCCCGGCGAGTCCTGGTGAAGACGCCGCCCTCTCGGCCGCAGCTCAGGGGGCCTTGGCCCCGCACGTAGCGTGGCAATAAAGCGGGCCCTGATCAGAGCCGTAGCCCTGATCCTCTCCATGCGGAGCTGAGAGAAGACCCCGCCGGGCACGCCCTTGCCCTCATTCCAGGCATGGCGCACGTCCTGGGAGCTGTCTCTGCTCCGGAATGGCCTCGGGGCTGGGCAACTCAGGCTGCCAGTTGCAGGTGAAAGAACCCCTTGCGGTTCTCCAAGGCCTGACCGTGATGCAGCGAGCTGGCCTAGGAGACGCCTTTTGTTGTGCCTGTGGCCGTGCTTGCTGGGGATGATGGGTTGAAGCCCATGTCCTCTGCAGGGCACCAGGCTGGGGAAGGCTGGCCCAGCTCCTGTGGTGCAAGAAACTGCAATGCATTGCCCATCTGCCCCAAGCTGCTTCCTGTCCAAGGATCAAAACACGACTTTGAGCTTAGTGAAGCCCAGGTGGCAAGTTAATCTGGCCTGAGAACTAACCCTGTCCCCTCTTGCTCTTACAGAAGATGGTCCCGGAGAAAAGAGCCTGCAGGTAAGAGCTGGGCCTCCTGTATTTTACGTGCTGCGATGCACAGACAAGAACAGTTCCACTTCACTGGGGGCATTTGCAGAACCAGAAAAGTCACCAATTCATATGGCACAAGTAATAACCAGGAACTCAGTGTGAGCCTTTCCACACTGTGGAAGGGGCAGACCTGATCCTGCTGCTCCATAGCTGTACCCTGCAGATGGGGCTTGGCTGTGGATGGTGGGCACTGCAGGCCAGCGTGCCTGGAGACAGAGTCTGCCCATGGGCAGGCACAGTGCCGGCCAGGTGGCCACGGCCCAGGGCACCACAGTCAGACCTGCTTCTTTGTGCCCACAGGGTCTGACTCGGATGTGCTGCTGACCAAGATCCACAGCCTGTTGGCCGAGTGACACGGGGGCAGGCGGCAAGCACGGGCCCGTCCCCCCGTCGCTGTCTCGCAGGGGGACCCTCCTTTTCCAAAATGCCTCTCCTGGGCACGGCTTGTGGGGGGGGGTTGCCAGCCCGGAGCAGCCTGCACGCTTCAGAGCCAAGAGCACTCCTGCAGCCGCCGGGCAGGGGAGCCGACTCCAGCGCTGGGCCACGTGGGGGCTTAGCCTGGCGCCTCCCGCGGCCGGGCTCGGGGCCTGGCGTGCCTGCAAGAGCACTGCATCTGCTGGGCCCAGACCGGGAGCCTGCTTCGTGAAGGTCAGCGCATCCTCCTTGTATGGGAAGTGACCCAATCTCTCTGAAGCCATTCTCAATAAAGCAAACCATATGGACTGGGAAAAGCGGAGCTGCCACAGCTGCCGTTCTTGTTCCACGGGGGGCAAACGGAAGGGGGGCCCTCTTGCCTTCACGGCTTCCAGTCCACCCCCACCTGGCATCCTCCGGGCTTTGCACCCCACAAGCAGCAGCCGTGCTGACGGCACGGTGCTTGTGCCTTCGTTACCGCAGCCTCCCTCCCCGGACAGCACGGGCAGCTTGGCTGGGGCTCCCGGGAAGGCACCTGCAGGGCCCCAGGAATGCCTCCTGGGGCTGTCCATGGCTTGGCTTTCCTCCTGCGGCCAGAGCGCTGTGACGCGAGGCCCCCGGGCACCCCCCACTCCCACGGGGTGCCAGCACGTGCCACTCCTCCTGCCTGGGCCGTCCCCTTCCTCTGCAGCAGCCCCGGCCAGCCTTCCATGGGGTTTTCCCTCCAGGTTGCTTTTTGCTTCCTCACCTGTGTACCTCAGGTGCTGTGATTTGCTGTGTTCAGATCATTTCCCAACGAGAACTTTAGCCTCTTGCGCACACGGCAAGAACGCAGCGTGCTCATGCCGGAGAGCCAGTCCTTGCACCTCATCCCTTTAAAGAGATGGAATGCTGCCTGCCTGTGATTCTTCCTAGGAGGGTCCTGAAGGCTCATTCCAGGTACGGCCGGCAGGGGCAGGCCTGCTTCCCCCACGAGATGGCCCCACCGGGCATTGTTCTTCAGAGGAGCAACTTCCTGGCAATTCCTGGGTTTGTTTCTTTCTTTGCATTCCAGGGGATTTCGCGGAAGAGGCTCACAGCTGGCCAGGGGTCCTTGGCCCCCCGCCCCATTTCCAGCTAGCTACTGCTTACACAGGTGCTTCTGCACGCACAGGGCAGCGCCTGCCGCCGGCCCCCTCGCCTCAGTGGCCTGCCGGTGTCCCCAGAGCATGCTCAGCTGCCCCACCTGTACCCCCTCAGGCAGGCAGAGGGTTGAACTGAGCTGCCCCGGGACTGCCTACTCCTCACACTGCACATCTACCCCACAGCGTGACCCACAGGTGCAAACCGACGGTTCTCCTCCTCTGCACCCTGACACAGCTTGCACTTGCTGGGAGCAGGGCCCCAGGGGGATAGGCCCCTCACGCGAAGCTCCAGCCGTTAGCGGTGCCCACCTGCATGACTCCCACGCCATCAGCTCATTGCCCGAGCAGGCTGTGGCACTTGGGACATTGCCTGACTGACTGCAGTGGCACCAACTGCTTTGCTCTTTTTTTAAGTGTCAGCTTTCTACTTCAGTTTTGGGAGGAAGCGAAGTTCTCCTACTGCTCCGAGGAGCCACTGGGTGTTTGGGTCTAGGGGAACAGCTGCATTGTAGATCTCCAGTATATCAACTGAGGATATGAATGCTCTTTAAAAACTTTATTCAGTTTACAGCCCTGCTAAAAAAGATCAACTATTGCTCTTGTATGAGAAATGTTCTGGAAGGAGAGAGGAAGTACACAGCTTAATGGGGGCAATTGCATAATAAATGCATAAGGTGGAAGCAAATCTTGAACCTGCTGAAAAGAAAAGTCCTATAGGGTGTCTAGGAATAATTTAGGTTCCATTTTTAGCAGAACCACTAAGAAAAAGGAGGTGGGATACCAGGCTACCCGTAAGAACCTTTTCTGTACCTTTTCTTTACGAACTGGCTGTGTAGCCAGTGTAATCAGGAGGTACCCAGTCGCCTCCAAGGGCAGCACAGGAACAAAGCACAAAAGCAGCCACAATGGTAAATGGATGAACAACGCACTGTTGTGCCATGAACAGTGAATGCAAGCCCATGGGACAACAATGGAGATGGCAATGTGGTATAGTGGTTAGAAAGCTGGACTGGACGACAGGGAAGTCGAGTCCCTGCTTGACCATGAAGCTTGCTGGCTGATTTGGGGCCCATCACTGACACTCGGCCTAACCTACTTCACAGAGGTGTTGCGAACATACAACGGGAGAGGAAGCTCACATATGCCATTCCATCTTACTCAAACAGGTGGGGTATAATGGCAGCAACAATTTAAATGCATGCACTGCCGCAGACTGGCAGCACCGGGCGCTGCTGAAGGGGCCAAGCAACTAACGGCGCACCTGCGTCCCAGCATCCCGCCCCACAGGGCTGGCTGGAGAGCCTTCCGCGGGGCTTGTGCTGGGAGACCGCCGCTCTCCTGCACCGCAGCTGTTGGCCAGCAGGTGGCAGCGCATCGCCCCCCGTGCTCCTCTGGCGGAAGGGCAGCTCCCGCCCTGCTTCAGGCCGCCCACCCTCCGGAGGACGCGAAGATCCCCTCTGTGCACAAGCCAGCTCCATCCCTCCCCAAACCTGCTCCCCTCCAGCTGTGCTGGGGACGCCCCTCAATGGCCACGCGGGCTAGGGATGCGCAGAGCTGCGGTCTAACACATCCAGACAGCACCAGACTGGAGAAGCCCGGCAGCTGCTCCCCAGGATCAGCGGATGCGCTCCCCCACCCCGACTGCTGCGAGATGATCCTCTTACCTGCGGATCACCCTAACCTCCTGCATGCAAAGCCCGAGCTCCCCCCAGCTGCAGCCCCTCCCCCCGGATTAAGTCGTTCCACAGCAACCCATCTGCCTCTCCGCCCTCCTCTGGGGATGTATAGATTTTATTAAATCCGTTTTGTCTGCATTTTGCAGATTGCCAAGCACCTTTCATTCTGCCATCTGCTCATGGACAGAATTGTGTGTGGGGGGGGTCCCCATTTCCTGAAGCTGCATTTGTGCCAACTTGCAAAAAAAGTGCAATCCCCACAGCAGAGTTTCATATTTTTAGCCAATGGGAGGAAAACACGTGGTTTCGGTCAGTGTTAAATTTTTGGACAACCAAATTTGTTTAAAATTCCAGGTGGTTAAAAAACCATCCACAAGGAAAATGCAGGGAAAGCTGCTCCACAGAGGAATCCGCAGGTCAGAGTCACAAAATCTGTGCAACTCTGATGTGGGCCGCTCCGGCGTCCCTGCCCCTCGTCTACCGAAGGCGAGAAGCGGGTGTGCCCGACACGAGCCCCAGCCCACAGACCAAGCCGGCCTCCTCTTGCCTGCGATCGATGGATCGATCAACACGGAGCGGGTCCCGTGCCTTGTTTTTCGCGACACCCAGGATGCAGCCCTTCGCCCTCCAGCCAGCCTTAAGCCCGTGTGTCCCGCCCCACTCTCCGCCCAGCGGCAGACCCCGGGTCGGGTCGGGTCGGGTCGCCGGCGGGAGAGGAGGAGGGCAGCACCCCGCTTCCGAACAGCCTCCCGTCTCCGTCTTGGCAAGGGCAGGCGAGGGCTGCTCCCAGCGCGCCAGCGGGAGGAAGGGAATGGAATGGAATGTGCTGGCCCGCGAAGAGCGGCCCTGGGCTGGAACGCCGCCTGCCGGGGAGCCATCCAGAGCAGGCCGGGCTGCCGGGCCAGGCGGGAGAGGCCGCTCCTTGCAGCTTATCCCCTCCTCCTCCTCCGGACAGGGAGAGGGCAGACCATGGCGCGCACAAGCTCCGCTCTAGCGACAGGCTGGGCTACCGGATCGTGGCTTGGCGGCTCCACTGCTGTTTCTCACCCAAGTCTGGAGAGCCGCACCGCCTTGAGCTCGCCTGCCTGGCAGCAGGAAGGCAGCAGGTGCCAGTCGCCCTGCCCTCCAAGCCCCCCGCAAAGCGCACGCGCCGGGCGCTCCCTGCTCCAGAAGCGTGCGGCCGGCCGGCCCGCCACCAGCCTGACTGACCGGGCCCTCCATCTCCTCGTCAGTGGCACTCGTTAGGCACCAGCGGCTCCCACAGGGAAGCAGTGGGCAGCCCGGGGCGGCCCTCTCCGCAGGTTCGGCGTTCCCGGGGCACTCGCGTGGCCACTGTTGGGACGCAGAGGCGTGGCTGGTCCAGGGGGACAAGCCCCTCACTCACTCACTCACTCACCCAGACCGGACTACGGCAAGGCAGGGGAAGCGCACACACACTCGGTTTAACAGCTGCCCCCTCTGTGCAGCGGCGGAGGCCAGGCTCACGGCGGCGCTGCGGGGGCCGGTCAGCCCCCTGCTTCCTGCCCTGCCAGCGGAGGCCTGCCGGTCCTCCTTCGCACGCTAACACCCGGGCTGCAGCATGTGCCAAGCTAGGCACACTCGGCGCAATGGGCCGCTGCTGGGCACACTTGCCGCCGCCGCCACCTGCACGCACACTGGCGTGATGTCCGCAGCCGGCACAGCAGCCCGCTCCCTTCCCCAGGCTTCTGCCACCGCCACCGGCAGATTAGGAAGCACTCTCAGCAGAAGGCTTCTCGCACGTTTGCGGGTGGCCGGACGGGCAGCAGGAATGGGAAAGAACGGTCCCAACGCAGCCAGGAGATGGGATTTATTTGCCACACGATCCCCCCCCCCCGCCCCCGGGCATGGCGCACAGGCTGCCTGGCAGTGGGGGGCACTTGAAAGCCTGCGAAAGGAGCAGAGGGCCTGATGCTGCAAGGGCAAAATGCAAAGCCGGCGACAGTCTGAGTGAGGGGGTGCCTGTCTCTCGAACCAAGCAGGACTGCGCCTGCTGGAACCGGCGCCCCGTCGGCCGCCAGCTCCTCCGCTCCGCCTTGCCCTGGGAGGGGCAGGGGCAGTCCCAGAAACGCCTCTTCCCCTCCAGGGCCTGCAAGGGGCTTGCTGCACTGAGGGGCCCTTCCTGGGTGGGGGGCGCCCGACGGGCCTGCCCCAGGGCTCTGCACAGACCCAAGCATTGCCCTGGACCCTCTGAACAGCAGAGCCAGCCCCTGCGCCACGCTGCCTTCCCTTTCGACCGAGGCCAGGCAAACCAAGGCCGTGCCGCACCGCCAGCCGCCTCCTCGCACCCCGAACGAGATGGGGACAGAAAACAAAGCCAGGTCCTCTTCGGTTCCCTGAGGTGGCCTTTCGGTGAAAGCAGCCCAGGGGGTCGCACAGCTCCATCGCCCACTGTTCAGCTGCATGTGGGACGCAGCTCACACCAACAGCGGGCAGCTAACTAACCCTGAGCCACAGGCCTTTTATCTTCCGCTCCCTCAGAAGTGGGCCCTTGCCTTCTCTGCACGGCTCAAGATGATGCCCAAACACGCCCCTCAGGGTCGCAACGGTTCCCACAGCCAACCAAGCCTGACCCAAGATCCCAGACCTCAGCCCGCGTTCTGCCTGGCCAAGGGGAGCAGGCAGCGGATGAACCGGCACGTGCCTTCAGAAAGCATCCCGTGGGTGCCTTCGACCGGGGAATCGCGATGCCCACTCGTCTCCGCCGGCTCCTCTTACGCCACGAGTCAGCCGAAAAGCTGATTCAGCTGTGCTGGCTGCCGGGGAGAGCCATGCATGCAGTGCTGCGGCGGGAGAAATGCGGAAGTGCCAGCTCACTGCCCCCGCTCCCCGCAGGGCAGAGCAGGGCACACAACTGCGGCAGCCGGCTCAGGCCACTGCGCAGTGCCACGGGTCACCCGGACAGCCCAGGCAGGGTCTTTCGCCGTGCGAAGCCTGCCTCCCCCGAGCCACCCTCCTCACTTGCACGCAACGCCTTTGGACCCACAACCTTTGCCCTTCCCCAAAGCCAGCAGAGACTCTGATTAGCTGCAGAGAGGCTGCAGAGGACGGTTTCTAGGAACGCACTGTCTCGGGAAGGGCCTTGTGCCATCTGCCTTCCCACCCAGTGCCTGCCCTTACTTCGGGGGGGGGGGGTCAGGTCTTTGTCCTCAGTTCTGCTAATGAAACTCCGCACATTCTCCGGGAAGAAAGAATAGCCTGCAACTGCGCGGCCACATCCCAAGAGCTGGTGCTGGAAGCAAATTCTCCAGTGCGTGCCATTCCTGCCACGCCGAGCGCTCCAGCCTGGATGAGGACCTGCCAGATCACCTTTCCCTGACGACGCAGACGCTTTCCTCATGGCAATCAAGCGGCCCCCGCCCCCCCCCCCCAGCGCCCCCGCTGCTCTCCTCAGGTCGGCTCCGGGCAGACCCAGCGATCCCCAGCGTGTGCAGCTGCGGAGTGGAGGTGGGCTGGCCCCAGCCCACCCTCCAACACGGGTCTGCACAAGACGGTCGAGGGCTCAGAGGTGGCAGCTGCAACCCAGCTGTTCTCGGACTCAAGGACCCCACTGTGCCCCACTGGAGGCTCGGGGCCCGCCAATGAGAGCGCAGGCTTGCCAGGAAGCCCCTTCCGCACAGCGGAGGCCCCTGCACCTAACCTAACCCCTTTCCACAGCCCCTCTGGGAGCACCTTTCCCCTTATCCTGCCTTCAGGTCAGTCCCACACCTCCTGTGCATTAGTGTTCCGTCTGGTATCAAAAGGCATAAAGCTGCAAGAAAAGGGCTGCACGTGTAGCCAATAATTTGATAGGATTCTCTGTTAAAATATAGACAGTTTCTCTCCCCACAACACAGACCACCCGCCCCTGCACCACCCTCCCACCTGCCCCAGGTTTACAAAAGCTTCTAGTTAATCTGCTCTGCTAGCTTTACAGGTAATTATCGATAATGTACAGCTCCCTCACCTGCCCAGTTCCGAGGAACAAGGCTGGCTTTGGTGCCCTTCCCCTCCCGCCCCTCTCCGCCTCGTTAATGCACCCAAGAAGCGGCCACCCCTTCTTGATGCAGCTCAGAAGGCCGCAGCTGCTGCCGGTCCCACTGAGGGAGCGAAAGGCACTCAGTGTGGAGTATAATGGTCTGAAGGCTGCCAGAGAGAGCCCTCCAGCACGGATTAGTCTTAAAAAAGACACCCCCCTCTCCAAAATAGTTCTGTAGAAAATGCCCTTCTGGATTAGAAAAGGGAAAAAAACCAATCAGGGCTCTAGTTAAGGCTGGATCTGGGTTCTCCTTTCTCTGCTGTACCAAGACAGCCCAGAAAAGAACCCAAGGAGAAGCTGCTTTGGCTTCTTAGCAACAGCTGTTAGCACCCGCTTGCCTGCTCTGGTGCAGTCGCAGTTTCAGGGAAGGGCTACCAATGATTGCTCAGGTGGGTCTTCCCAAGGCCAGGCCAGGCCAGGCCTCCCCTCTTGAAAGGGCCCTGTTGGCTGGCACAGTCAAGAACAAGCTTGACCGGCGGCCTCCCCTGCAGGACGGTTTTCTTTCTCCCCACTTGCTCCCACCAGAAAAGTGCACCGCAGGAAGGCTTTTCAACCCGGGCAGTCACGTGATTGCAAGTTATCTTCCCACCCTTCTTCCGACCGAGGTTGAGGGTGCCAGGTCAATGCAGAGTTGACGCAGAAATCAGCCACAGGCGTCAGCACGAAGTGCACCCCTTGGAACAGCCCTGACTCCTCGTGGCTGGATTGGGGCCCACATCCATTTGGAGAAGGCCTCCGCGCAGCTGGAAGAGTCTTTGGCCATGGGCAGAGCATGTCCAGCCTCTTCCCAGACTCCTCCAGGAAGGCCTAGGTGGGGCTTGCAGGGCTTACAGTAGACTTAGGAAAAGATGTGGCACTGAACAGAATCCCTCTCTTCCTATTGCAATGTACTGCTCACTCCCAGCCGGTCTGCAGAGCAGTAAGACGGGCGCCAGGTGCTCCTTGCATTCCAGACTCTCCAGGGGGTGTGAAGCTCCAAAACCAGAAGGGCACTGAAGGGGGAGGGGGAAAAAAAAAACAGGTGCTTCGTTACTGCCAGGGCATAAATGGCAACAGAAATACGCATAAGCTCAAGACACAGCCAGCCTGGAGGAAAGTTTTAGTGGCACCCTTCCTGGAGCAGCTGAACTGCCGAAGATGTTGTCCCCACATCGGAGCCGTAGCCCCTTTAACCTCGAGGTCCACATCTAGAGAGAGAGGCTTAGGAGTTCAAGACCAGGCCTAGGCAGGGTAATCTGTCACCAAGCGGGGCACCGTGGTAATCTGCAACCACAATTCACGAAAGTACAGGCTTTTTCTCCCACCGCTTCATTTGGGGCGCCACGGCTGGCTCCACCCTTACTCCAGTTCCTTCTGAGTTCCACTGCCGCTCTGAAGTGCGCACACTTCCCTTCCCTCCATGTGCAACCTATGCCCATACAAACCACTTCCTTCTCTTGATGGTTTCTGCACAGGCTGCCAGAAACCAGAGCCCAACGCGACTGACGGGGCCCCCACTTATGGCAACAAAGCACCCAGGCAAAGAGCCAGAAGTGGAGGACTCCCCAGCTGCGGCAGCAGAGAGGGTGGGAGGCCACTCGTTTGCCCTGCTGTGGCCCAGCCACCCTCGGAGGAAAAACATATCCAAGAAGTATTTGCAAAGTGCCAGAGAAGTGAGAAAGGGACCACGCAAAATGGCAGGTCACATGAATTTGCAGGCAAGGAAGTCTCAGTTCAGTCTCTGGCACTTTTAGTTAAAGATTACCCAGTAGGAAAGCTGAGAAGCAGCTCTTAAAGGCCCAATTCCACATGTGTTTGGATACGAGAAAAGGCCCCAGCATGGCTTGCAGGGCACACTAGAGGGAGTCGGCCTTTTTCAGCCAAACAGGTGGGCAACGGCACCCTAAGACAGCCGCTGCTGGTGCTGCTGGACTGGACTGGACTGGACTGGAGGTCCAACTTGAAATGAATGCTTCCATACATCAGCATCAGGCTCCCTCCTTCCTGGGCCGTAAATGACCGATCTGTAAACCAGTTGTTTTTATGGGCCGACCTGCAAGTGGCTGACTCTGAAGTCAAACTGTTTCACTCTTTGCCGCTCAAGGAAATCCACCTGCCCTGGGTTCCCAGAAGGCCCCAGCCCCTTGCATGGGAACTTTCTCCTGCTTTTGGCGCAGCGCTTCCCCCATCCAAAGGGCTGCACTGGTTCTCTGAAGGCTGCTGCTGGCAGGAAGAGCTTCCGGCTGGAAAGCACTGCTAACCTTTCCATACTTTCCTTGGCTTCTTTTGCTTTCAGCCCTGCCCACCCCTGGGAGCTTCTCCAAAGCAAGGTCCGGCCCTCGGGCTGCAAGAGGTTCTGGGCCCCTCTCACGCTCAGTTACCTTTGTCAGTCCTGAAGTTAACTGGGTACCCAGGTGTGGCTGGAGGTCTGCGACGTGCTCGGAGCACACTCAAAGTTGAAGTCCAGCCCTTCACCATCCATGAGGTCGGTGTTGATTATGTAATCCACATCACACTCGAGGTTCTCCATGTACATGTCAACATCCAAGTCATTGGGAAGCCGGTCCTGATTCCCACCAAAGGGAGCAAACGGGGCGGCAGGCAGAGGTGGCTGGCTGCCCAGCTGGACCCCCTGCGCGGACTGAGCCGGGCTCGATGCCTTCAAGGCGGACAGGCCGACAGAATTCTGAGGAGAGGCCACCATGGAAAAGGCCGAAGGCAAAGCTGAGACGCCAACGGCCTCCGGCTGCTGCTCCACAGGCCTTCTGAGTGCGTTAGCAGGGCTCAACTTGTTCTTGGAGGACTGCTCCCCCAGGAGCAAAAAGGTCTGGCTGTTCGACCGGCTGCCGCTCTGCGGGAGGATCGGATCCACCTGGGTCATCATCACATCACTGGGGGGTGGCGAATTGGATGTCAGGAGGTCTTCCAGTCTCTGAGGACCGGAGAAATGGCCGGGAGAGCTGCGCAGTGCGACATCAACAGGGTTGAAGAGGGAGCTGCCGAACGAGGAGGCCTGAGCGACCGAGCTCTGGGCTCGCAGAGGAAAGCCAGGATTTCTTTGGGGCAGGCTGCCTGAGGAAGGCTGATGTGCTGGCAGCAAGGATGAGTTGGGGGACATCAGGTTCAGGCTGTCGATGAGTTCCAGTTCCTCTGTCACAGTGGGTGGGACGTTGTTGGTTGCACTGGAGTAGACATGAGAGGAAAGGAGCTCCTCGTCGGCAAGGTCGTCCTGTTCGGCCAGGATGGGAGAAGGCCCCAAACTGATGGTGCTGGCATTGGAACTGGTTCGAGGCCGGATACTGGTCCACACATCGGAGTCCTCATTGCTTCTGGAAGAAGGGCTGCCAGGCCACTTGGGGAACTGGGATCCCGGGCTGTCAGAGGAAGGCTCTGTGGCCGCTGGTATGGCCGGCTTCCTCCGGGGGACTTTCCCTCGGACTCTGGCCAGTTTGCTGCTATTGTCCATGGAAGCTGCTCTTCTCCGCGGAGCTTTGCCGCTTTTGCCACCTTCAGGATTGAGCATCCACCAGGAGCTCTTCCCAGTAGCCTCATTGTGCACTTTCATGAACTTGTTATGAAGAGACAGGTTGTGCCGGATGGAATTCTAGGAAAGAAAATGGGGTAAGTACACCATTAGCCACTTCTCCATATCCCCCATTAGAAAATGCCTCAGGGACCGCGAAAGGAAAAAACAGAAAAGGCACAGCCTGGCATAAGACCTCTAACGATGCCGGCGGAAAAGGCAGCCTACAGGGGGCGCCATCACAGGCATCGATGACGAGCACCTTGGCTCTCCCATGCAAAGCACCGCAGGTTCAGGGAAGCCGGTGAGATCTTCCACGTCTGCTTAGGCAGTCAAGGCTCAAGCTCCAGTAAGAAGCTTAAACGGTTTCTGCCTCAGTGTCACATTCGATCCAGAAGGAAAGGGAAGGGCAGCCTTGAGCCCATCAACCAGTGCGGCAACTGCTCCTTCCCCCCTTCAGTGCCCCTCCTTCATCCCGTTCCCCTTTCCACACTTTTTCCTCCCATGCACACTGAAACCTCTGACCCCCTGCATGCTGGCACTCGCTGGCTCCCACCTGCCTAGGAAATCAGACACCAGCTCCAGCACACGTCACCCTCCTGCCAGCCATCAGAGTCATTTTGAGGCAATGTGTCATATTTCTCTCTTTGGGGCAGTCATGCGGCAGCACGGTCCACTCATAAGGTGAATAATGTAGTGGTCAACACAAAAGCAAGCTACAGGAACACCAACTCAACTTGTGTAGAATACGCACAAGATGCTCTGCTTTGACGACCGAGCCAAGGCGAGGGAGAAGGTTACCTGGGCACTGGAGCGATACGCTTCGAACCTTCACTTCGTTAAGAGTCAGGCCTCTCTTGAAGTGCAGGCAGCCTTGTCTCTGCCCTCAGAACATGGAGCTGGGCAGCATCCAGTGGCACCGGCTCAGTGACTGTAACAGACAACCCAGGCAACCCTAACCACTAGCCATGAGCCCGGCTAGAGGTTTGCCGAATCCAACAAACGAGGCCATTTTCAAAGTTGCTGGCCGGCCTGGAATTCTGTGGCTTGCAGAGATCTCCTTTGCAGTTACAGCAAGAGGAAAAGCAAACAAACTCCTGCTCACCCATGGCTGTTCTTGATTTAGAATGGGATCCTTCCTTCCCCTCTCCGTGCCCACCCCAAAGAGCACCAGCCAACCAGCCGGCCCACGAGTGCCACCCCCTCTACAAATGGAAGGGGTGCTGCCCAATTGCATAACCACAAGACTCTGGCTCCGCTTACTTCAGAGTGGCTTGAAACCAAGCGGTTCGGAACAGCATGTAACTTCCTAGGAATAGCAGTATGGCTTTGTTTCTGGGGAACAGGCCTGGCCAGCCAGAACCACAAAGCACTAAGCCTTGCATCAAAAGATGTCCCTGGCCTGACGGCAGAGCCATTCTGGAACTGCAGCATCCAACCCATCGAGCGGTCTCCTCTCCGGCAAAAATCTTAAGGCATTTTGGGTTTAATAAGAACAGCGAGTGCGGAGAAAGAGGAAGAGGGAGGGAGACCATGGGCTCAGCGTTTTGGTAATACAGCTTAGATCACAGGACTAACAGGCCCTTGACAAAGCTGGCCTGTTAGTCCATCCAGCTCAAGACTGCCCACAGAAGCCTTTCCAGTCTTGTGCCCCCCCCCCCGCACCAGGTGCACTGGACTACACTCCCATCCTCCCCAGTTCAAGGGCTATTCCATCTCAGACCACCAATGCTGACATAGACAAAGCAGACAACTGTTACAGAGCAAGCATTCGTGGGGAAACCCAGAGCGAACTTGGCAAAAATACAAACCAGCAAAAATCATGGAGACACATGACTAGGCAAAAACCTGTTTTTATCTAAACATTTAACATAAATTGTGGGTTTTCAGGCTCAGAGTTGTTGAGCATGTTATTCAATCCCCCCCCCCACCCCGCATCCCCTCAACCAATTTTGTGTCAAAGTGATGCCAACAGCCCTTTTAGCAACAGACAAACAGACTTGGAACCTTTTTAAAAATCACAAGTACGCCTTAAAAATAGAACCACTGGTAGGTAGACCTGTACTTGTGTGCCTTTTGCTGGGAATGCTAGTGAGAAACCTTCTGTAACTTACCCAAATCCACACAATTCCTTCCCTAGAGCCCAAAAACCAGGGTGGGGGAGCTGCTCAGATTTTCCACTTGCTTTTTAAACGAGACCAAATTATATTGCCAGTCCACATACCTTCCTACCAAAAGCTGGTCCCGCTTTCTGGAAAATGCAAAGGCTCGTGTTTCAGTAGGTCCAGGGGGTGGTGTGACACGGTAGCGACCTGAAATGCCATGCTGCTCCAGGGCACCTGAGCACGGAACATGCATCTGGCAAGCCAGTTCCATTCTAATGGGGATGGGGGTTTATAGTCTAAAGCCATTTAGGGTATTTCGGGACTTTTGTCAGTGGCTTCTGTTTTGCTCTATGATGCTATGGTTACGGGTCTTGCTGCTCTGTGCTGGCCAGCTGGCATTAGCCATTAGAGAATCCCAGTATTATTTATAAGTCTTCTCCCCAGGAAGTTGCTGAGCTTGAAGGCTGCAGACTAACATTTGGACTCTCTGATGGGCCCAGCCAGCCAGGACAAAGCAATGAGGCCTGTACACAAAGCAACATAAAAGGCAACCAAAGCCATTGGTAAGGACCCAAGAGTAGCTATGCTGGATCAGACCCATATATGATAAGGGTCACAAAGTGAGCCCATTCATGTTCTAAAGCAAGCGCAGTAGTAAAAATGAATGAATGAGGAAATGAAGTGCCAAAGCCGCCTCAAAGCCTTCCTTATCATTGCGGGGGGCGGGGGGATCACAGCAGCTCTGCTTTCTAGTGCACTTGCTCTGGGGACAGCCCCCTTTAACACACTTTCTGCATTTGCATTTGACCACGCACAAGTCATAATGCAATTTACAATTTGCACTGGCAGGGGAGCCTTGAACAGGCCTTTAAAGGAAGTTCATGGGCCAGAAAAATCTTCTGTCTCATTAGCCTACGCTCATCTCCCCACACGCCTTCAAACTTCACAAGTTTCTTAAATGGGCACCACCCTGGAAACTTGGATCTTTTTGAACTACCAACTTTTTCAGCACAAGCTCATGCACTGGTCAAGCACTGATGTGGGAAATTCAACCCCTGTGATTTTATAAAAGGATGTCCCTGTATCCTGCTGCTCACCATCTCCACAATATCCACTACAAGCACATGCAATTTTCATAACACAAACTGCGTCTAGTCTACAGCAGGTCCTAAAATGGCAAGAAGGTGGCATCCATGCAGTGCTGCTCAACCTCAAGGGCCTTAAGGATTTGGCAGCAAGCTGGGAGCAAGCTGTCCTCACCAAGAGAGACAGGAAATGACGGTTTTTTATCAAGTTTGCGTGCCAAATTCTCAGACTTTCCTGAGAGGAATGCAAGGAACCTCCCATATCAAGTTGCAAGCTCCTGCTGCATGCCAAGGAAAAAGCTTGCCCTCTCCAACGGAGCTGGAAAAGCTGCAGCACTAGCAAGCATCCACGCTCTCATATTACCTGATCAGCTTTTGCACCACTCATGTTTACGGTGCTGGCAAAGGAGGAGGCAGCACCCCGACCCCATGGGAGTCTCCAATCTCAAGCAGCCTTCCCTAACCTAAAAGTGTGAGGCCACGGGCGGGGGGGGGGGGTACTGCAACTGAGGGCTTCAAGCCGAGATGGGAAATCTGTGGAGGTGGGGAGAAAATCAGGAGGGGAGAAATCCTATTGAGGACATAAGGAATTTCCAGTGGAGAAACAGGACATTGGGGGAACACTGAGAGAACACCCATAATGGATTCTCTCTCTTGGAATAAGTGAAATCCCTTTTAGAATAACGTTTAGTTGTTCAAATGAATGTACTATGACAGGTTTTTTCATTTGATAGTAGCATGGATAAACTACCTTTCAGCCTTAACCAGGATCCCCAAAGTGGTATATGAAAACAAACCATTAAATAAATTTAAACAATTCATCAGTTTAAAAACATAACAATTAAAAATATTAAAAGCCAGGCAGAATAGATTGGTTGTCTGCCCATCTAAAACTAAGCAGAGATAGGCTCAGTCCCTTGGGATGTTAAGCTGCAGTTGGGATGCTAAGAATATAGGAAGGGTCCTTAAGTTGGATCCACAGCAGCTGCTAGCTGGGCTGACATCTGCATCAAGCTGTCCACCTTTCTCTTTCTTGGATTGCTTTCTTCGTCCCCACCAACTAAGATCCCAGCACTGAATACTTGAAGTTGAGGTGTTTGCCTATGTGCATCGCTTCCCATTAGCTTTCATTGAACCCTGTCTGCCATTGTGATTCTCCCACAATCCCTCATGAATCCCGTTTCTTTCAACCATCCTAAATAGCCTGGTGTCATCAACTAACCTGACCACCTCACTGTTCTCTCCTTAATTCCAGATCTTTTAACAAGCTGAAAAGCAGTGATCCCAATATGGATTCAAATGGATCCCACTGTAAGTTTCTCTTCATTGAGAGAATTTACCATTCACTCTCTGCTTTTGTTTCTTAATTGGTTAGTGATCCTTTAACGTATGTCCCCTCTTATTCCATGAAGGCCCAGTTTGCTCAGGAGTCGGCTGTACACCTTTCAGAAGCCCAAATATTCAAGGTGTTGGTGATGACCTATAAAGCCCTAAACGGCTTGGGTCCTGGTTACCTGAAGGAGCGCTTACGTCCATATATGCCCGCCCGCCCGCCCGCCCCTTGAGATCAGCGGCAGAGGCCCTCCTCTGGGAACCCTCCGTGAAAGTCATCAGGAGGCAAAGTACCCAGAGGAGGGCCTTCTCTGCGGTGGCGCCCAATCTACGGAATGCGCTCCCCAGAGAGGTCCGCCTGGCGCCGTCGTTACTTGTTTTTCAGCGCCAGGCAAAGACCTTTTTATTCAAATGTTATTTTAATTGTTAATATTATTTATTCATTTTATTCTTTGGTCAGGGCAACTTATTTTATATTGTTAATTTATATTATTCTATTTTGAAGTTTATTTATGGTTGTGAGCCGCCCCAAGGCTTCGGCAAATGGGGCGACATAGAA